GTGATTAGTGAGATCCCTGACAAACACAGAAGGAACTGAACCAGCGGTTATGGAGACGAAAAGGTCAAGGTCTAGTCAACACATGTAGACGTGTATACGGGGCTCCGTAAGAGATGGCCCCTCTCCGTGTCCTGTGAGGGCAGATCCAGAGGAAGTGAGCTCGCTTCATATAGGAGGGAAGAATTTCCTGATAAGGCGTGAGGTATAGGTTCTCAGGGAGGAGGTCACGTGCCTGTTTCCTACTGTTTTGAGCTTTAACATGTAAATAAATTCTTCTCCTGCTGAAGTCAAGTCTAAACCAAGGCCCTGGGTCGGACAAGAGGACTCATTCCAAGTCTCAGGCCTAAAAACCGAGCGTCTGACCCATTCTTGTGGTTGCTTTGGTGCTATCTTTTTTCACATTCAGCCACCACTTGCTGAACACCTACTGTGTGCCAAGCACCCTTCAAGACCCAACACTTCATTAATATTCTAGGCTTCTTCTCCCTATTGGGCTTTTCTGAGGCACCACAGTCGTGCACATGAGCGTGTCATTCCCATTCAGCCTCCGTTCTTGTGAGTTCTCTAGGAGCTTAGTTTTGACCACGGACATGAACTCAAGTCAGCCAGAAGGATGTTGTGCTTCCCTCCCTGGTGGCATTCCCCTGAGGACTGGTGGGCAGAGGCAGGCTGACGCAGGTTCTGTGCTGCGAGGCCCTCAGGGCCTGGGTCCCCATGGGCCCCGGGCAACCCGGGCCCCAGAAATCACCAGCGCGAGGCACTGACTTCTCTCGATCTCTTGGGTGCTGAGTAATGGGGGTAAATTAAAGAGAAGAATCGCATAAATAGGCCACTTTACCAAGTGATCATATTCACACATAGGAACCACAAAAGCAATCCCAACAACAGGGACACGCAGCGCTAATGAGACCGGAAAGCTGTTTCAGTTTCTGGGCTCTGCTCGCTGGTGTTTTGAAAGCTGCAGGAATGTCCTGGGGGAGAAAATTCCACCAGGACGGGCTATTATCAAGCTGTCATGGAAGAGGTGGGGAAAGACTGCCATCGAGAATCTGATTCGTAGGCTGCTCTCAGAAGGAGCCAATGGGAGGTCTGATCAGGGCTCATCCTTCTAATGTGGCCTGATTGTTGAGAAATAAATGCCCAGGGTTACGCTGCCTCTTGCAAACTCCTCAGCCAGGCAGCCCCTCTGGGGCAGAGGCTGGGCAAGGGAGCAGAGCGTAATCTGATCCCACCACCTGCTGGCTGGCTGGGGGGCAGTAGGGAAGGAAAGGCGGGTGTTCAAGGATGCTTGTTGAGGCTTTGCTTCCTTCTCCTCCTCCCTTCCCCATCCTCCAACAGAATTGCTTATTCCTCTAGCAAAAACCCTGACTCTGAGTGCCAAGGTTCTCCATGCATAAAAGAGGGATGATACATTTGTTATCCACTTTTCCAGTGTCTTATCAGGCTTCACAGTCTAATATTTATAAAGCATCTTGAACTTCTTCAGCAAAAGGTGACCATCCATAATCACCTTGAACCGTCATTGAAAGCTGATATTTATGGAGCACCGACTTTGGACCAGACTGGGTGCTGGATATTATATATATTATCGCATTCAGGCCTCACGACAGCCCGGTAAAACAAGTGTTGCTATCCCTGTCTTTCTGGCAAAGAAAAGGGAGCCCAGAAAAGTTATGGAAACTTGTCTAAATTTACACAGGTACAAAAAGAGTCAGGACTGAGTCTGACTCCGAAGTTTTCCCGGGGCGTGTGTGGCTCAGCCTGGATGTACTTTGGATTGTGTCTTCTAGGATTTTCTGTTCCTCTATCCGATGAGTACCCACTACTTCCAGGTATTCTTCTTTGTGTGTGTGTTTTTTAGGTCTCATCTTCTCTATACCTGTGGCTGTTTTTTTTATGGCTTTCTCTGTCTCTAGGTCTCTCTCTCTCTCTCTCTCTCTCTCTCTCTCTCTCTCTCTCACACACACACACACACACACACACACACACACACACACACCACCACCACCACCACCACCACCAGGTGGACAGCACTCTCATCCTACCCCCAGGTTACACAGCAGCAGGAGTTCTGGGCCCTTCCTCACAAAGACTTCTTTTCCCTGCTCTTCTCTGGCCAGCCCCATTCTCGTCACACAATTCCCAGAGACCACAGTCCCTGAGCCCTGCTGACGGGGCCAGTTCACCTCCTGGAAGCCAGCAGTGGGGATAGCACCTCCTCTGGTGCGCCTTCCCTGGCAAGGTGAACAGGGCTGTTCAGTCATTATATGCTACAATTCATTTGACAATGAAGCATATGTTGCTTTGTGACAGCTCTTCCATAGTTGCCTTTAACAACTGTTTAGTCCTTAAATCTTTCATGTGCTTATGTCTTGTTCCTGGAAGCAGGAATCTTGTCTTATGTCTTTGTTCCATCAACAGTTCCCACATGCTTGACACGTGATTGGCATTCAATAAATATTTGTTGGTTTTAGATCAAATTTCCTCCCCTTCCTGGGAATGGGTCTGCCTAATTACCCCTTTTGGCACATTCTATCCCTTGCTGGATACTTCTGTCTCCCCTTCCCCCATCCTTACTTGTTTGTTCATTCTTTCCCCTCCTCCATTAACTCAGCACAACTCAGGGAGTCACGTTTACTTGCAAAATCACCTTCTTTGGGTCCTACAAGTGGAAAGCAAGCCCAATTTAGCGCCTCATGATCTAAGTTTTGGTCACCATATGACAACGGAGTTTATGGCTGCATGACCTTGGCTAAACCACCAGGCTCTTCTGAGCATCCATTTCTCCCACAATTATTGTCCCCAGGTCTTTCCCCTCTCGGACCACGCTGCTGAAACACATCTTGCCAAGGTCATCAATGCTCTACCTCAACGAAATCCAATAGACTCTTTGCAGCCTATTTGGACCTCTCAACACATTTGTCCTTATTGACCAGTTTTTCCTAAATATTCTTCCCTCAGCTTTCATGACATCACCTTTGTCTGATACCCTTCTGACTTCTCTAGCTGCTGCTTCCTCTCATTGTTATCATTCTTATGAAAATAATTAACATAGTAACTAGCATTAATTGATGCTTACTACATCCCAGGATTATACTAAACTTTCTAGATACTGTTCTATACGGAAGGTGCTATTATTGCTTTGTTGAAGAGGAAGAGGCCACGGTCAGAAAGGGGTCATAACTTGCCCAGAGACATATGGCCAGAGTTGTCTGAGCCCACAGCATATTTTCTCAGCAGACACAATATGCTTCTCAGCGTCCATTCTAAGGCCTCTCCCTCTGCTTCTCCCGTTACTTTTGGAGTTCCTTGAAGCTCTCTCCAGGGCCGGTTTCTCCTCTCTCTGTCTACTCTCCCTGGGCAACCTCACCCACTTCTTTGTCCTTAACCTTCCACATGGAAATACTTTCATATGGCTGCCTTCAGCCGGTGCTCCTCTCCTGAGCTCCAGACCTTTTCTCCAACTGCCCATGGGACAGCAGCACACGATGTCGCAAGGCTGTCATGTCATCTCTTCTTCAAAACCTAGTCTTCCTCTCAGACTCCCTAGCTCAGTAAAATCACATGACCATCCACCAACTGCCCAACTCAGAAAATGCAGTGTCATCTTTCCCACCTCTCATTCATCCTCCTCAGCAACATTTCCAGGCCCTTTAAGACTTGGTTCTTGCCTCTCTTTCCAGCTTCATTTCTTCTCATTCAGCCCCTGACATCCTTCACCTAGCTATGATCACCCCATTGCAATTCCTGGAATGAGCCAAGCTCACTTGCTTTCTCTGTTTTTCCTGTCTCTGGGTCTTCTACCAAGTGTTCCTCTAACTGTTACATATTCCAGTCCTTGTTCCTAACCTAGCTCAACCTTACTTACCTACCGTTGAGGTCTCATCTTAAACGTTACTTCTTTTGTAAACACTTTTCTAGACCAGATTAAATCTTTCTGCTGGCACCCTTATGTCCCCCGTACATAATCAATCACACTTCACTGCAATTACTTTTGCAACTGTTGATGTAATCTTTTCCGTTGTAGTATCTTGAGCATCTAGTATAGCGCCTTGCGCATAAAAAGCTCTCAAAATATATTGAATGAATGAATGAATGAGCTGCAAAATAGAGTTAATTATAACTACTCAGTTATATTGGGTAATTGCGGAAATTACATGACAGAGCATTTATGATTGTACTTTGTAAAATTGTAGAACAAACCTCCACAACAATAAAACGTTACACATGGTTGATCTCCCCTACTTTTCCAGATTCCTTGTCCTCTTTCTGGACCCACCATCTATCTCCTCAACAGTCAAGAGATCATGATGATCCAAGTCCCATCAGGGACTCCAGCTGACACTTGCCCCATGTTCTCTCATTTGGAGGCGCCTTTCTGATCCAGGAGCTGCTCAGGTTGTTTTCCATATCATCTCTGTTGGTTCCACCCCCAACTTAGCTCAATCAGCAGCTGTTTCCAAAGCCTTATACTCATCCCATCCTACCTACTGCCCAACTTTGGTCCAGTCCAGTACAATGCTTTAGGCTGATTCTCCCCACACTAGGTCTTGGTGACCGTCTTTGCAGTAAGGATTAACATCTTGGTTTCCAAACACCCTAAGGTCCCTCTTGCTTTAACTCACTCCAGAAACTTTGGGAGAGGGGATATACTGACCGAAGGCTCTCCAGGCCATGGAGAAGTTGACTTGGAGAGGAATAGAATACTGAAAGAGTTTTGTTTTGTTTTTAAAAATATTGTTGGGGAGCAGTGTGTTTTTCCAGGACCTATCAGCTCTAAGTCAAGTAGTTGTTCCAATCTAGTTGTGGAGGGTGCAGTTCAGTGGCCCATGTGGGATCGAACCTTGGTGTTATGAGTAGTGCACTCTAACCAGCTGAGCTAACTGGCCACCCCTAGAATACTGAAAGAGTTTTAAAGCAAACTGTCAATCAATGGGTTACAGGGAAGAGAGGTTGAAATGGATATGAGAAAAGAAAGAAAGAGAGAAACAAGGACGTACCTGTGAGGGCAAATGAGTTGCTGGGTGAGCAGGAGAGTGAATCAATCCTCCCTGGTCATCCTTGGTTCCATTGACAATGGCATCTCACCAAAGCAGGGTATTGTCTCTGGCCAGCTCCAAACAGAGGTGGGTGTCCCTTCCCATCTAGGATTACCCTACACAAGACACACATTTGATCTCTTATGATTTAATTTGGAGACAGAGTTGCTCACTCAGAACCATTCTTGATGCAAGATTTCTTTTTTTTTTTTTTTTATCAGCACCAGGATTATGTTGTGAGAAAGTCAATCACTGTATCAGCTCGTGGTTTCAAATTGTAAAATTAACCGCAATCACAACAGCAAAACTCCTTCACCTAAGGAGAGGGCATAGACGTGCGCCCTCCTCTCCACTTCAACACCCCTCCTTCTTAGACTAACACCCTTTGTGGCTTCTGGAAAACTGCCCTGGGATGTTCATCAACTTGATGTTACCTGTGTAAACATATGAGAGGAAAGCACTTACCGTGATCTGCCCTGGACCAGCCATACCAGGAACGGACTAGCTTCTATTTAATATCATAGAAGAATTTCTCTGGAAGTCTAAACACTGAGGCATTCAATCACTGTGAATGTGCAAATTTTTTTTAAGTGTTAGGTTCATTTGCAATTAGCATATCTCAATTCCAAACAAAGTGCTCATGGGATGCTCAGGCGAGCACCCCTAACCCTTGTATTCTCTTGAATGCAGGCACCTTCCCTGGTTCCCTTTAGGTCTCTCTTTCCCCATTCTGCCCTCACTCTCCTTGGTTTCCCTGTGGCAGAATCTCTTTTCACCACGCACCCCCCACCCCATCCTGGGCCCAGAAGCAGTATTGCTTGTATAACATTCAGGGTGCTAAGCTTACCTGCACCTTTCTCTGTTTTTACTGTGCAATTTTGGGAAGTGACAGAACTGTCATAATATGTATGTTTAAGTCCCTGAGTTTTCAGTTCAACAGAGAAGAAAAGGAGGAGGGTGGGGGGCTCATGAAGATGAGAAGGGTAGCAGATGAATTTTATGATTTTTCAAGATATTAGTCCTAGAGTTTCATTTTTTCCACCCCCACCCCCCCAAAAATCCCTGCATAACAACTAGACAGAATGACGAGCAGTGACACCTTGGAAGGCAGCCAGTCTAACAGTATTAGAGAGATAATATAATTTTAGAACTGGAGGGAGCCTGGGACCTGATTCAGTCCAATGCTCGCATGTTAAGATAAGAACTGTGAGGCCCAGGGAGGTGTTGTGACTTGTTCAAGGTCACATAGGGAGTTTGGTCTAGGACCAGCCTTCTGGGCAGTCAAGGCCACACTATCCAGACTCAGGCAGGGCTTGAGTAGCAAGAGCAAGGTCTGTACAGAGGGCTGGGGTGGGGGGTGGGGGGTG